TCAGCAGAGTGTAGAGTGACGAAGTAGTTGGCTGACTGTCAAGTTTGCTAATAGCTGACAAGCCAGGGCGAGTAAGCTTTAGAGAAAGCGGATTTTTCGACCGACGGTTGGCATATGAAAACTTATATTTAGGCCGTGATCAACAGTGCCGGTGGTACATTAGATTTTGCGTGGGGGAGTTCAGTAGGCGCTTTACTGTCGCGTTTTCATTTTTATTCCATCCCTATAGTATGAAATCGATTGTGTAAAGGGCATATTGCGAGGTTCTCATTGCGGATCATCATTGGTACAGTGATCTGACTCCAAAGTGGGATGTGCAAGCCGCTGTCTCAGCTTGGCTGTCATTCGATGGCTTAAGGGAACTAAAGTCCACAAAACAGTGGCTATTCACTTATTCCAGTGCTTTCGAAGTTGGATATGGGGGAGTTGTAGCGTCACACACTTCCCCAAAATCAATAGCCTAGGGTTTGACGACTTCGACATTGATGCTGACCTTGATAGTTTAACTGGACTCGCTAAGCTGAAGGCACCCGGTCAAGCATCCTCGCCATTTGGCACGCTGTCGTGTTACGTTGCATTGCTCGTATTCGACTCTCTAGCCAGTTAGTTGGAACGCATCGGTATTTTGGCATAACCATCCAAATATACTATTCCATCCGACTACGCTATCGTGTTCTTCCTTGGTCTCGTATTCGTGGGTATATAACAAGTTCGAATAATTAGTGATTGGTCTTTGCGTCTGTCAAGTTCGCACCAGGACAAATCCTAAATTGGTGAGCCCGACGTGATCACATATCCCGATCAATAACAAGTATTGAATTGGTGAGCCTGTTCCATTTTATATTTGTTTATTGTTTTCATTTCGATAACATTTATATATCCATTTACTACACTTTCTCATGTCCGACCACACTCCCAAGCTTATTCGTATTAAGCCGACTACGAACACGATCCAACTCGTGCCATATTGGCCAGACAATGCAGAAACATGGTTTCTGTATGCCGAGGCCGATTTTCGAGAACAGGGTGTCTCAGATCCTCAATCTCGATTTCTTGCTGTCATACGTTCACTACCGCGAGAATTAAACAGGTTTGTTACAGCAAACATGTTTAATCCTGAAGTAAGTGACCCTTATGCACTTCTAAAGGCCACACTCTTGAAGAAAAGCGATCTCACAGATCGCCAACGTCTAGACGAATTGCTTCGTAACATCGAGCTAGGCAGCCACTCAGCTACTGAAGTCCTCGCACGCATGCGAGAAGTAATCGGTGCACGAACATTTGACGATGGTTTCTTCCGAGAACTATTTCTCTCGAAACTACCACAACCGGTGCAAACCGTGTTGGTGACACTCAGTCAGTCCCACTCGACGACCTGGCAGCCTCAGCAGATAAAATACTGGAGATATCCAGCAGACCCGTCTCCAACGTATATTCTATCTGCGACAAACCAGAGCGCCAGGATTCGGAGGTGACCAAGTTGTGCAACTCTGTGAAACGGTTGCTACGATCTCGAAGTCCTAGATCACGTAGCACTTCACAGAAACGCACCTTGGCGCATCGCAGCAAGTCGCGTGGTAGCCCTAAAACGAAACCCAACAGGGTGGAAAACCCTGAATGGTGCTGGTTTCATAACACTTACGGGGATGAAGCCAGAAAATGTCGTAAACCATGCCGTTTTAAGAAGGACACAAACTCGGGAAACGGTCACGCCGGCACGTGCTCACGGCAACCGTAGCCGGCGGAAAAAGCCGTTTGCTCTACGTCACCGACATTAAAACGAAAGTCCGCTACCTCGTCGACACCGGCGCAGAAGTTAGCGTTCTTCCAGCAACGACAAAGGAGCGTCATCTTGACCCATCCTTCAATCTTCAAGCAGCCAACGGCAAGGCAATCGCGACATTCGGGAGACGGTATGCCTACCTCAACTTAGGTTTACGCAAACCTATTCACTGGATTTCCTCCTGGCAGACGTCTCTATGCCCATCATTGGCATAGATTTGCTAAACCATTACGATCTACTCGTAGATGCTCGCCGTCGACGACTGATAGATAACAACACAAAGTTATCTATTGGCGGCACCACCTATGTAGGTCCGAGTTTAGCCATCGTTAGGACTAAACAATCAGGCGACGCGTCCTACCAGGCAGTTCTGGAGAAATATCCAGAGTTACAACAACCGAAACACACTCTTCCGTGCATAACCAGCAATGTTATGCATCACGTCACAACCACAGGTCCACCTGTGGCATCCAAAGCGCGCCGTTTAGCCCCCGATAAGCTGCAAACGGCGAAAAATGAATTCGACCACATGCTCGAACTGGGCATTATCAGACCGTCAAACAGTCCTTGGGCATCGCCATTGCACATGGTTCCCAAAAAGGATAGCAACGACTGGCGTCCGACCGGTGATTACCGAAGGCTTAACGCCAAAACAACTCCGGACTGCTACCCTATACCCACGTTTACGACTTGACCGCAACCTTATGCGGCATGAACATTTTCTCGAAAATCGACTTGGTCAAAGCGTACAACCAGATACCTATGGCAGCAGAAGATATCGCGAAAACAGCCATTATTACTCCTTTTGGCCTGTTTGAATTCCTGCGCATGCCTTTTGGTCTTCGGAATGCAGCACAAACATTCCAACGCTTTATGGACGACGTCTTCCGTGGTCTGAATTTTGTTCATGTCTACATCGATGACTGTCTAATTGCGAGTCCAGATAAGGAAACACACCTTAAACATTTGGACCTCGCATTCGAAAGACTCAAAAAACATGGCATCACAGTTAACTTACAGAAGTGTGAAATAGGAGTTGAATCACTCAGCTTCCTTGGGCATACCATTGACAACAAAGGTATACGCCCATTGAGAGATAAAGTGGCGGCTATCACAAACTATCCAGAGCCGACCACTGTGAAACATCTCCGCACTTTCAATGGCCTGGTAAGTTATTACCGAAGGTTTATCCCTAACTGTGCCTCTGTCATGAGACCACTCACAGATCTACTTCGAGGAACTGCGAAGTTCGTGTCTCTGGACAACGCGGCTAGACTTGCTTTCTCTAAAGTCAAGGAAGCCATTTCGAACGCAACCATGCTTATGCATCATGACCCCAATGCTCCTCTGAGTATTGCTGTTGATGCATCTGATTCAGCAATTGGAGCAGTTTTGCAACAGTTGACTGACAACCAGTGGCAACCGTTAGCCTTTTTCTCGAGGCGGCTGCAAGACGCGGAAACAAGATACAGTACATTTGGTAGGGAACTCCTAGCCATGTACTGTTCTGTACGCCATTTTCGACATTCTGTGGAAGGTCGTGATTTCATTATTTTCACAGACCACAAACCGTTAACGTTTTCCCTCAGCTCGGCGTCTGACAAATACTCCCCTCGTGAGTCGCGACAGCTGGATTACATTTCCCAGTTCACGTCAGACATCCGCCACATTTCTGGAGCAAACAACTCCGCAGCCGACGCACTATCTCGAATAGCTTCGATAAACTATATCGAGGGTATTGATCTCGTTGAACTAGCTCGGCGTCAAAAGGAAGACCTTGAGCTGCATCATGAGTTGTCGTCCACAACTCTCAAACTGCGACTTTGTCCTGTTGGATCAGACAAGGATGCAATTTTGTGCGATGTCTCTGCTAGTCAACCACGCCCAATAGTTCCGAAGAGTTGTCGACGCAACGTCTTCAATACGTTGCACAAACTCTCTCATCCAGGTGTACGAGCCACCATTAGGCTTATCGCACAACGTTTCTGCTGGCCTGGGATGAACAAAGACGTTAAGGAGTGGGCCCAGTCGTGCTTAGCTTGTCAAAAGTGTAAAGTCACGCGACACACGAAAAGCCCTTTAGGCTCATTTCTAGCCCCAGACATGCGTTTCGACCACGTCCATATAGATATTGTAGGACCCCTACCAGAATCTAATGGATGTACCTACCTTTTCACCTGTGTTGATCGTTTCACACGATGGCCGGAAGCAGTACCCATTAAAGATATTACTGCCGAAACAGTTGCTCGTGTTTTCGTCGAAAGATGGATCGCGAACTTCGGATGTCCATCCTACGTCACAACCGACCGTGGGCGCCAATTTGAGTGTGGACTATTTCACGCTCTAACGGCACTTTTAGGTTGCACTCGGTTCCGAACGACAGCCTACCATCCACAAGCAAATGGCATGGTAGAGCGTTTCCATCGACAGCTGAAAGCTTCCCTTTCAGCTACAAACATACCTCAGTGGACCGAGGCTCTGCCTCTAGTCCTACTAGGTATTCGTAACGCGTTGAAAGTTGATGCTGGATGCACTCCTGCAGAACTCGTCTATGGGACCACTCTTCGCCTACCAGGTGAGTTTGTTTCCCCTTCAACTTTCAAACATGTTTCCGACAGGGCATCTTATGTGACTAGGCTTACAAACGCAATGCGTTCAGTTAGGCCTTCTCCGATTAGACCGCAAACGACTGATGTTTTCGTCCACCCCAGTTTACAGAAGACATCACACGTGTTTGTTCGCCACGACGCTGTTCGTCGACCACTTGAACCACCCTACGACGGGCCGTTCAAAGTGATTAAGCGACACGAGAAATTCTATATAATTGAGCGAGACGGACGTGACGATACTGTCAGTATCGACCGTTTGAAACCAGCTTATTTCGAAGGCAACCCCATTATAAGTGACGTTTCAGATCGCTACATCCGACCGACGGATGACTCAATTATCGAAATTCTCGACGATGTGCCTGGTAATGCACAGCTGCAACAACCAGCGGCGCAACAAAAAACACGATCAGGTCGAACCGTCAGGTTCCCAAAGTATCTGGAGTCATATTCAACTTAGCTGTGTGTGTGCCAACCATATTTTTCCTTTTTTTCGAGGCACTATTTTTCTTATTTACCGGCAATGCACTTTACCTTTTTATATCAATTTTTATTACCATGTAATAAAAACTTTAAAAAAAGGTGAAGATAAGCGTAAATTTTTATTTTTCGATATGTTTATATATAAATAATTCCCATTTTTACGCAACGTTTTCGTGGTATTAAAGACTCTTATTTATATTCCAGGTGCAACGGGCACTGAACGAAACGTCGAAAGCAACTGAGGACCGCGACCGACGTACAATTTTATTTATTGTATTTTATTTATTTAATTGCCACGACACCCTAGAATAAGTTCAGATAACCAGGGGCCACCTCAAGCAGTGAGCCCATCGGAAGAGTTTCACCAGTGGAGAAACCACTAGGTTTTTACTTCCAGCTGGTATCGTCTTAGTGTCCTCACGAACCTACTAGGGGGGGAGTGATCTGTAGCGTCACACACTTCCCCAAAATCAATAGCCTAGGGTTTGACGACTTCGACATTGATGCTGACCTTGATAGTTTAACTGGACTCGCTAAGCTGAAGGCACCCGGTCAAGCATCCTCGCCATTTGGCACGCTGTCGTGTTACGTTGCATTGCTCGTATTCGACTCTCTAGCCAGTTAGTTGGAACGCATCGGTATTTTGGCATAACCATCCAAATATACTATTCCATCCGACTACGCTATCGTGTTCTTCCTTGGTCTCGTATTTGTGGGTATATAACAAGTTCGAATAATTAGTGATTGGTCTTTGCGTCTGTCAAGTTCGCACCAGGACAAATCCTAAATTGGTGAGCCCGACGTGATTACACATCCCGATTAATAACAAGTATTGAATTGGTGAGCCTGTTCCATTTTATATTTGTTTGTTGTTTTCACTTCGATAACATTTATATATCCATTTACTACACTTTCTCATGTCCGACCACACTCCCAAGCTTATTCGTATTAAGCCGACTACGAACACGATCCAACTCGTGCCATATTGGCCAGACAATGCAGAAACATGGTTTCTGTATGCCGAGGCCGATTTTCGAGAACAGGGTGTCTCAGATCCTCAATCTCGATTTCTTGCTGTCATACGTTCACTACCGCGAGAATTAAACAGGTTTGTTACAGCAAACATGTTTAATCCTGAAGTAAGTGACCCTTATGCACTTCTAAAGGCCGCACTCTTGAAGAAAAGCGATCTCACAGATCGCCAACGTCTAGACGAATTGCTTCGTAACATCGAGCTAGGCAGCCACTCAGCTACTGAAGTCCTCGCACGCATGCGAGAAGTAATCGGTGCACGAACATTTGACGATGGTTTCTTCCGAGAACTATTTCTCTCGAAACTACCACAACCGGTGCAAACCGTGTTGGTGACACTGCAGTCAGTCCCACTCGACGACCTGGCAGCCTCAGCAGATAAAATACTGGAGATATCCAGCAGACCCGTCTCCAACGTATATTCTATCTGCGACAAACCAGAGCGCCAGGATTCGGAGGTGACCAAGTTGTGCAACTCTGTGAAACGGTTGCTACGATCTCGAAGTCCTAGATCACGTAGCACTTCACAGAAACGCACCTTGGCGCATCGCAGCAAGTCGCGTGGTAGCCCTAAAACGAAACCCAACAGGGTGGAAAACCCTGAATGGTGCTGGTTTCATAACACTTACGGGGATGAAGCCAGAAAATGTCGTAAACCATGCCGTTTTAAGAAGGACACAAACTCGGGAAACGGTCACGCCGGCACGTGCTCACGGCAACCGTAGCCGGCGGAAAAAGCCGTTTGCTCTACGTCACCGACATTAAAACGAAAGTCCGCTACCTCGTCGACACCGGCGCAGAAGTTAGCGTTCTTCCAGCAACGACAAAGGAGCGTCATCTTGACCCATCCTTCAATCTTCAAGCAGCCAACGGCAAGGCAATCGCGACATTCGGGAGACGGTATGCCTACCTCAACTTAGGTTTACGCAAACCTATCCACTGGATCTTCCTCCTTGCTGACGTCTCTATGCCCATCATTGGCATAGATTTGCTAAACCATTACGATCTACTCGTAGATGCTCGCCGTCGACGACTGATAGATAACAGCACAAAGTTATCTATTGGCGGCACCACCTATGTAGGTCCGAGTTTAGCCATCGTTAGGACTAAACAATCAGGCGACGCGTCCTACCAGGCAGTTCTGGAGAAATATCCAGAGTTACAGCAACCGAAGCACACTCTTCCGTGCATAACCAGCAATGTTATGCATCACGTCACAACCACAGGTCCACCTGTGGCATCCAAAGCGCGCCGTTTAGCCCCCGATAAGCTCAAAACGAACGAAAAATGAATTCGACCACATGCTCGAACTGGGCATTATCAGACCGTCAAACAGTCCTTGGGCATCGCCATTGCACATGGTTCCCAAAAAGGATAGCAACGACTGGCGTCCAACCGGTGATTACCGAAGGCTTAACGCCAAAACAACTCCGGACTGCTACCCTATACCTCACGTTTACGACTTGACCGCAACCTTATGCGGCATGAACATTTTCTCCAAAATCGACTTGGTCAAAGCGTACAACCAGATACCTATGGCAGCAGAAGATATCGCGAAAACAGCCATTATTACTCCTTTTGGCCTGTTTGAATTCCTGCGCATGCCATTTGGTCTTCGGAATGCAGCACAAACATTCCAACGCTTTATGGACGACGTCTTCCGTGGTCTGAATTTTGTTCATGTCTACATCGATGACTGTCTAATTGCGAGTCCAGATAAGGAAACTCACCTTAAACATTTGGACCTCGCATTCGAAAGACTCAAAAAACATGGCATCACAGTTAACTTACAGAAGTGTGAAATAGGAGTTGAATCACTCAGCTTCCTTGGGCATACCATTGACAACAAAGGTATACGCCCATTGAGAGATAAAGTGGCGGCTATCACAAACTATCCAGAGCCGACCACTGTGAAACATCTCCGCACTTTCAATGGCCTGGTAAGTTATTACCGAAGGTTTATCCCTAACTGTGCCTCTGTCATGAGACCACTCACAGATCTACTTCGAGGAACTGCGAAGTTCGTGTCTCTGGACAACGCGGCTAGACTTGCTTTCTCTAAAGTCAAGGAAGCCATTTCGAACGCAACCATGCTTATGCATCATGACCCCAATGCTCCTCTGAGTATTGCTGTTGATGCATCTGATTCAGCAATTGGAGCAGTTTTGCAACAGTTGACTGACAACCAGTGGCAACCGTTAGCCTTTTTCTCGAGGCGGCTGCAAGACGCGGAAACAAGATACAGTACATTTGGTAGGGAACTCCTAGCCATGTACTGTTCTGTACGCCATTTTCGACATTCTGTGGAAGGTCGTGATTTCATTATTTTCACAGACCACAAACCGTTAACCTTTTCCCTCAGCTCGGCGTCTGACAAATACTCCCCTCGTGAGTCGCGACAGCTGGATTACATTTCCCAGTTCACGTCAGACATCCGCCACATTTCTGGAGCAAACAACTCCGCAGCCGACGCACTATCTCGAATAGCTTCGATAAACCATATCGAGGGCGTTGATCTCGTTGAACTAGCTCGGCGTCAAAAGGAAGACCTTGAGCTGCATCATGAGTTGTCGTCCACAACTCTCAAACTACAACTTTGTCCAGTAGGATCAGACAAGGATACAATTTTGTGCGATGTCTCTGCTAGTCAACCACGCCCAATAGTTCCGAAGAGTTGTCGACGCAACGTCTTCAATACGTTGCACAAACTCTCTCATCCAGGTGTACGAGCCACCATTAGGCTTATCGCACAACGTTTCTGCTGGCCTGGGATGAACAAAGACGTTAAGGAGTGGGCCCAGTCGTGCTTAGCTTGTCAAAAGTGTAAAGTCACGCGACACACGAAAAGCCCTTTAGGCTCATTTCTAGCCCCAGACATGCGTTTCGACCACGTCCATATAGATATTGTAGGACCCCTACCAGAATCTAATGGATGTACCTACCTTTTCACCTGTGTTGATCGTTTCACACGATGGCCGGAAGCAGTACCTATTAAGGATATTACTGCTGAAACAGTAGCCCGTGTTTTCGTCGAAAGATGGATCGCGAACTTCGGATGTCCATCTTATGTCACAACCGACCATGGGCGCCAATTTGAGTGTGGATTATTTCACGCTCTAACGGCACTTTTAGGTTGCACTCGGTTCCGAACGACAGCCTAGCATCCACAAGCAAATGGCATGGTAGAGCGTTTCCACTGACAGCTGAAAGCTTCCCTTTCAGCTGCAAACATCCCTCAGTGGACTGAGGCTTTGCCTCTAGTCCTACTAGGTATTCGTAACGCCTTGAAAGTTGATGCTGGATGTACCCCTACAGAACTCGTCTATGGGACCACTGTTCGCCCATCAGGTGAGTTTGTTTCCCCTTCAACTTTCAAACATGTTTCCGACAGGGCATCATATGTGACTAGGCTTAAAAACGCAATGCGTTCAGTTAGGCCTTCTCCGGTTAGACCGCAAACGACTGATGTTTCGTTCATCCCAGTTTACAGAAGACATCACACGTGTTTGTTCGCCACGACGCCGTTCATCGACCACTTGAACCACCCTACGATGGGCCGTTCAAAGTGATTAAGCGACACGAGAAATTCTATATAACTGAGCGAGACGGACGTGACGATACTGTCAGTATCGACCGTTTGAAACCAGCTTATTTCGAAGGTAACCCCATTATAAGTGATGTTTCAGATCGCTACATCTGACCGACGGATGACTCAATCATCGAAATTCTCGAAGATGTGCCTGATAATGCACAGCTGCAACAACCAGCGGCGCAACAAAACGCACGATCAGGTCGAACCGTCAGGTTCCCAAAGTATCTGGAGTCATATTCAACTTAGCTGTGTGTGTGCCAACCATATTTTTCCTTTTTTTCGAGGCACTATTTTTCTTATTTACCGGCAATGCACTTTACCTTTTTATATCAATTTTTATTACCATGTAATAAAAACTTTAAAAAAAGGTGAAGATAAGCGTAAATTTTTATTTTTCGATATGTTTATATATAAATAATTCCCATTTTTACGCAACGTTTTCGTGGTATTAAAGACTCTTATTTATATTCCAGGTTCAACGGGCACTGAACGAAACGTCAAAAGCAACTGAGGACCGCGACCGACCTACAATTTTATTTATTGTATTTTATTTATTTAATTGCCACGACACCCTAGAATAAGTTCAGATAACCAGGGGCCACTTCAAGCAGTGAGCCCATCGGAAGAGTTTCACCAGTGGAGAAACCACTAGGTTTTTACTTCCAGCTGGTATCGTCTTAGTGTCCTCACGAACCTACTAGGGGGGGAGTGATCTGTAGCGTCACACACTTCCCCAAAATCAATAGCCTAGGGTTTGACGACTTCGACATTGATGCTGACCTTGATAGTTTAACTGGACTCGCTAAGCTGAAGGCACCCGGTCAAGCATCCTCGCCATTTGGCACGCTGTCGTGTTACGTTGCATTGCTCGTATTCGACTCTCTAGCCAGTTAGTTGGAACGCATCGGTATTTTGGCATAACCATCCAAATATACTATTCCATCCGACTACGCTATCGTGTTCTTCCTTGGTCTCGTATTTGCGAGTTTATAACAAGTTCGAATAATTAGTGATTGGTCTTTGCGTCTGTCAAGTTCGCACCAGGACAAATCCTAAATTGGTGAGCCCGACGTGATTACACATCCCGATTAATAACAAGTATTGAATTGGTGAGCCTGTTCCATTTTATATTTGTTTGTTGTTTTCACTTCGATAACATTTATATTTCCATTTACTACACTTTCTCATGTCCGACCACACTCCCAAGCTTATTCGTATTAAGCCGACTACGAACACGATCCAACTCGTGCCATATTGGCCAGACAATGCAGAAACATGGTTTCTGTATGCCGAGGCCGATTTTCGAGAACAGGGTGTCTCAGATCCTCAATCTCGATTTCTTGCCGTCATACGTTCACTACCGCGAGAATTAAACAGGTTTGTTACAGCAAACATGTTTAATCCTGAAGTAAGTAACCCTTATGCACTTCTAAAGGCCACACTCTTGAAGAGAAGCGATCTCACAGATCGCCAACGTCTAGACGAATTGCTTCGTAACATCGAGCTAGGCAGCCACTCAGCTACTGAAGTCCTCGCACGCATGCGAGAAGTAATCGGTGCACGAACATTTGACGATGGTTTCTTCCGAGAACTATTTCTCTCGAAACTACCACAACCGGTGCAAACCGTGTTGGTGACACTGCAGTCAGTCCCACTCGACGACCTGGCAGCCTCAGCAGATAAAATACTGGAGATATCCAGCAGACCCGTCTCCAACGTATATTCTGTCTGCGACAAACCAGAGCGCCAGGATTCGGAGGTGACCAAGTTGTGCAACTCTGTGAAACGGTTGCTACGATCTCGAAGTCCTAGATCACGTAGCACTTCACAGAAACGCACCTTGGCGCATCGCAGCAAGTCGCGTGGTAGCCCTAAAACGAAACCCAACAGGGTGGAAAACCCTGAATGGTGCTGGTTTCATAACACTTACGGGGATGAAGCCAGAAAATGTCGTAAACCATGCCGTTTTAAGAAGGACACAAACTCGGGAAACGGTCACGCCGGCACGTGCTCACGGCAACCGTAGCCGGCGGAAAAAGCCGTTTGCTCTACGTCACCGACATTAAAACGAAAGTCCGCTACCTCGTCGACACCGGCGCAGAAGTTAGCGTTCTTCCAGCAACGACAAAGGAGCGTCATCTTGACCCATCCTTCAATCTTCAAGCAGCCAACGGCAAGGCAATCGCGACATTCGGGAGACGGTATGCCTACCTCAACTTAGGTTTACGCAAACCTATTCACTGGATCTTCCTCCTGGCAGACGTCTCTATGCCCATCATTGGCATAGATTTGCTAAACCATTACGATCTACTCGTAGATGCTCGCCGTCGACGACTGATAGATAACAGCACAAAGTTATCTATTGGCGGCACCACCTATGTAGGTCCGAGTTTAGCCATCGTTAGGACTAAACAATCAGGCGACGCGTCCTACCAGGCAGTTCTGGAGAAATATCCAGAGTTACAACAACCGAAACACACTCTTCCGTGCATAACCAGCAATGTTATGCATCACGTCACAACCACAGGTCCACCTGTGGCATCCAAAGCGCGCCGTTTAGCCCCCGATAAGCTGCAAACGGCGAAAAATGAATTCGACCACATGCTCGAACTGGGCATTATCAGACCGTCAAACAGTCCTTGGGCATCGCCATTGCACATGGTTCCCAAAAAGGATAGCAACGACTGGCGTCCGACCGGTGATTACCGAAGGCTTAACGCCAAAACAACTCCGGACTGCTACCCTATACCTCACGTTTACGACTTGACCGCAACCTTATGCGGCATGAACATTTTCTCCAAAATCGACTTGGTCAAAGCGTACAACCAGATACCTATGGCAGCAGAAGATATCGCGAAAACAGCCATTATTACTCCTTTTGGCCTGTTTGAATTCCTGCGCATGCCATTTGGTCTTCGGAATGCAGCACAAACATTCCAACGCTTTATGGACGACGTCTTCCGTGGTCTGAATTTTGTTCATGTCTACATCGATGACTGTCTAATTGCGAGTCCAGATAAGGAAACACACCTTAAACATTTGGACCTCGCATTCGAAAGACTCAAAAAACATGGCATCACAGTTAACTTACAGAAGTGTGAAATAGGAGTTGAATCACTCAGCTTCCTTGGGCATACCATTGACAACAAAGGTATACGCCCATTGAGAGATAAAGTGGCGGCTATCACAAACTATCCAGAGCCGACCACTGTGAAACATCTCCGCACTTTCAATGGCCTGGTAAGTTATTACCGAAGGTTTATCCCTAACTGTGCCTCTGTCATGAGACCACTCACAGATCTACTTCGAGGAACTGCGAAGTTCGTGTCTCTGGACAACGCGGCTAGACTTGCTTTCTCTAAAGTCAAGGAAGCCATTTCGAACGCAACCATGCTTATGCATCATGACCCCAATGCTCCTTTGAGTATTGCTGTTGATGCATCTGATTCAGCAATTGGAGCAGTTTTGCAACAGTTGACTGACAACCAGTGGCAACCGTTAGCCTTTTTCTCGAGGCGGCTGCAAGACGCGGAAACAAGATACAGTACATTTGGTAGGGAACTCCTAGCCATGTACTGTTCTGTACGCCATTTTCGACATTCTGTGGAAGGTCGTGATTTCATTATTTTCACAGACCACAAACCGTTAACCTTTTCCCTCAGCTCGGCGTCTGACAAATACTCCCCTCGTGAGTCGCGACAGCTGGATTACATTTCCCAGTTCACGTCAGACATCCGCCACATTTCTGGAGCAAACAACTCCGCAGCCGACGCACTATCTCGAATAGCTTCGATAAACTATATCGAGGGTATTGATCTCGTTGAACTAGCTCGGCGTCAAAAGGAAGACCTTGAGCTGCATCATGAGTTGTCGTCCACAACTCTCAAACTGCGACTTTGTCCTGTTGGATCAGACAAGGATGCAATTTTGTGCGATGTCTCTGCTAGTCAACCACGCCCAATAGTTCCGAAGAGTTGTCGACGCAACGTCTTCAATACGTTGCACAAACTCTCTCATCCAGGTGTACGAGCCACCATTAGGCTTATCGCACAACGTTTCTGCTGGCCTGGGATGAACAAAGACGTTAAGGAGTGGGCCCAGTCGTGCTTAGCTTGTCAAAAGTGTAAAGTCACGCGACACACGAAAAGCCCTTTAGGCTCATTTCTAGCCCCAGACATGCGTTTCGACCACGTCCATATAGATATTGTAGGACCCCTACCAGAATCTAATGGATGTACCTACCTTTTCACCTGTGTTGATCGTTTCACACGATGGCCGGAAGCAGTACCCATTAAGGATATTACTGCCGAAACAGTTGCTCGTGTTTTCGTCGAAAGATGGATCGCGAACTTCGGATGTCCATCTTACGTCACAACCGACCGTGGGCGCCAATTTGAGTGTGGATTATTTCACGCTCTAACGGCACTTTTAGGTTGCACTCGGTTCCGAACGACAGCCTACCATCCACAAGCAAATGGCATGGTAGAGCGTTTCCATCGACAGCTGAAAGCTTCCCTTTCAGCTACAAACACCCCTCAGTGGACCGAGGCTCTGCCTCTAGTCCTACTAGGTATTCGTAACGCGTTGAAAGTTGATGCTGGATGCACCCCTGCAGAACTCGTCTATGGGACCACTCTTCGCCTATCAGGTGAGTTTGTTTCCCCTTCAACTTTCAAACATGTTTCCGACAGGGCATCTTATGTGACTAGGCTTACAAACGCAATGCGTTCAGTTAGGCCTTCTCCGATTAGACCGCAAACGACTGATGTTTTCGTCCACCCCAGTTTACAGAAGACATCACACGTGTTTGTTCGCCACGACGCTGTTCGTCGACCACTTGAACCACCCTACGACGGGCCGTTCAAAGTGATTAAGCGACATGAGAAATTCTATATAATTGAGCGAGACGGACGTGACGATACTGTCAGTATCGACCGTTTGAAACCAGCTTATTTCGAAGGCAACCCCATTATAAGTGATGTTTCAGATCGCTACATCCGACCGACGGATGACTCAATTATCGAAATTCTCGACGATGTGCCTGGTAATGCACAGCTGCAACAACCAGCGGCGCAACAAAACACACGATCAGGTCGAACCGTCAGGTTCCCAGAGTATCTGAAGTC